GATGAGCTTGTCGGTAGGAGGGCGGTTGGATTTCAGGACCTCGACTGTTAGGTTGTATGTCAGCTTAGCCTCCACACCAAGGTAGTTCTGTAGCGGGGACGCACCGAAAACAATGATATCCAGGATCAGAACGATGAGGCCGATAATCCCACCACCACTTCCATATTGCCATGGAGCTGCGCTGGCCGTTGTCACTGGTTCCTGAGATTCCTGAGCGACAGGAGCTGCAAGGGCGAGGGTGGCCAGGCAGAGCTGGAAGATGATGGAGAGTGCGTCGTGAAACATGTTCGAATTATGTGGTTGTTGGATGTGTGCGCAGGAGGAATATCAGTACCTACTGGAAGAATACGTTGAAGACGATATATGTGTAGGTGAAAAGAAGCACAAATAATATCCACCGCGGTCGCCTAGAGCGGCCTACCGTTTATATCTCCCGCTATAATATTACTATACACGGTTTATGAGATAGCCTGGTATACAGATTAGGTACCTACCTCATGTATTCAATATGACGGGTAGCCTCTGACGTCACCACTCCGGACGTGTCTGGATCCAGGTTTCAGAACTTGCTTAGCCCGATAAGCACAGCTTCATTGTGCATGTCTCACCATGTCTCGAAGCAGTTCGTTGCTTAACCTAATTCATAAGATGACATCATCCACAAGATCATTGCTTTTGGTAGCAGCAGAGCCCCAGACTTCATGCCTGCCAACTTAACAAGTAAGGTATGTTTATATAAACTTAAGCATAGGCTAAAAACTACTTTAAACCCCATTAGTAGCTAAATCACATCCTTAGACCCAATCAGCTGTCGCCATTGCCTCCCTGAGATAATTGTCGAGATCATCCCTGTGGATGATGAATGAGACCTAGCCCCCTGCACAGGATTCTCTAGGTTGGTATTGCAAAGTAAGGGGCTTTTAAGTAATGCGACGGGTGGGGTTGAGAGTCGAGCAGAGCTCGAGGCTCCTGTCACGTTTGTCATTGCGCAAGGCTGCAACATTGGTGAGGAGAAGCAACCAGAGAATCGTTTGAAGCGTGCACATACCACGGGTAATCCAGAACCGAACTGGTAGACCAAGAACAAGCTCTAGTGATTGTTCGTATCGAGCTCTCTATCATAAGAGAGAGATCACCTTGATTTTCTGTCCTGCGTTTCGAGGGTCTCGACAACTTTTCCCACGGCCATCCATGTCTTAGAAGAGTTTGCGACGGCAGACCCCCCAAGACACCATCCACAACAACCCTTAATGATCATAATACCCCTAGGACCACTCTCAGCAGTTATACCAAAGACTTTCTCCGACCGTTGTTTGTTAGGTAGTTTATCGGTCCTCCATTGCGTAAGCGCTAACACACCCTCGCTTGTCGTGATCAACATCATCTCCCATTCACTATGTAGAATGAACGGGACGTTCGGATCTTGTGACGGACATTTTTCGTTTTGAAATAATCTCGGCAAGTTTCCATGACAAACCCTCTTCTAACTAGATTGATTATGACGGTGGCGTAGCAAGCCAACAAGACAGACTCGCACCGTTTTGTAGGTAATACTCTCTCCCCTCTTCCCCCAGTTATTTCCCCTCTTGCATTCTCATATCTCTCATTCAAATACCCCATCAAATCTTTACACTGTTCAAGGTGTCTAAGGTAATCTGAACTATCATTATCTTGGAATGACGGTCCTAACTTACAAATTTAGCTATACAGCTGGAAAAACCTCTAGTCACCAGTCTCCGTCGTTGCTCCTCAATGGTGAGTGGGAAAAGAGCTCAGATGCAATAAATATGGATGCACGTTCTGACTCCTCATGCAGGATCATTCTTTCTCTCGACCATGTTCAGTTGTGAGCGAAACTCTTGGAGATGAGTTTAGCGATGTATCAAGCATGGCAAAATCTTTCTACTGGCAAGGAGAGCTTGCAAATGCCGAGTCTCTGTACAGGCGAAGTTTAAGAATACTGGACAAACAGCCGGATTCGCTGGAAAAGTTCCAGATGCAGCGTGTCATCAGTATGCACATCGCAGTGATCAGACTTTACCGCGGCAAATGTAAAGAAGCAGAACGTGGTATCAGAAAGGTTCTCGCTTTGCTCCAACCACTTGAAATCGGTAGACGCCACAAAAGATCGGACTTCGAGATTGATACGGCCCGATGGCTCGCGATATCTCTGTTTAAGGGAGAGAAGTATCAGGAGTCAGCCAAAAAGTCTAGAAATCCTTCTAGAAGAAAACTTCTCCACCGAGACCGGATTACAAAAAAACACTATCGTGGAAATGAAAGTGCGGAGGGATCTTGCGATGGCGTACGCCCACCGCGGCGATTATATGGGGCCCGCGGATCAGATCGAAAGTGTCTTTATGCCTCGAAGAGGCTAATATTGATTGTACAGCAAACCCCCCAAGTGTTCCTCCTGAAACGGTTTATGAGGTTCAAATGGCCGATGAAGTCGGCAATCTATTGGTATCTTCAGGCTGTGGTCTTGAGCCTTCCCAATTGGAAGCAGAACGGTCGTCACTTTCATTGGCTACTGCCTTTATCGAACTCATTCAGGGTGAGTATGATAAGGCCTTAAATAAATGTAATCTCGCTTTTAAGAGCAGTGAAGAGAAATTCGGGACTAGACACATAAGGACCCTCGAGGCAGCAGGTTTGAGGTCTTTATTACTTGCCATCAATTCCAAAATTCCAGAAGCGAGCCGGACATGTAACCAAGCACTGGGAGAAATGGAGAGAGAACTTGGCCATGAACATCCACAAACCTTAGAGACCATGGGATTCCGTGTTTACATATCTAACCTGCAGCATTTGCCTAGTGAGGCAGTATGCACAGCAAATTTTCTTTCGGAGGTTTCCGAGAGATCACTAGGCCACCAACACCCTCAAACGATATGGTCTAGGTACTTCTTAGCGAAGGCATATATCATGGCAGGTATATACAGATCCGCAGAGGTTGAACTAATAGACATAAGCGACTTGGCAGAGCATATGTATTCCTCTTGGGATCCCGACACGTTACGTTTTCGTTCCGAGCTAGCGCGGACATATTACCTTGGAGGTAAACATAACGCGGCGGAATCAATTGCACTGGATGTTCTCTAGAAACAACGAGTATTGTATAGAGTCGACGCCTCTGCCTCAGGACTGGAAGTTGGTGAATCTCGGGTTGAGAGGTGGAAGGAAAGATGGCGCAAGATGCAAGTTCTGAAGACAACTGATGCTGCGAAGATCCTAGAACAGACGTTTCATGACACCGAAACTCACTCACCAAAATCACGAATTCATCCTTCCATTGTTTTCACACTGCATACTCTTATCAAAGTATACTGGCAAAAGCAAAGCAAATCTGCACAAGATATTGCTAGTAGGTATATTAAAGACCATTTTAATAAGACAAGCAGATACACTGGGTACGTCCCACGTAATAACGTTGGAAACAGAATTTACCCTAGCAGTCCTATACCAAGGACCATCAGAAACAAGGAAGCACCGTCTTTTTGCCCTGGAGCATTTGAAACATGTGTACCAAAAGCGTGTAAATGTATATGGGTACATGCACCCAGAAACACTAAAAGCAAAGAGAGAACTCATCATGACCAATTGCATGTTGGGAATTTGGACGGATCCTGACGTTGAACTGAAGGCATCAGCGAACGACAGAAAGCATGGTAAGGAAGCTCCAGACATCGAGCAAGAGATGCCTGGCTTTGGGGATACTCAAGGGGAGCATGGAGGAGAAGTTTCACCGTCATACGAAGATTAGTTGATGATCGAATCTGCGTTGAACATAATCGCTACACACCATAGGTGGCAGCTAGGTCGTTCACATCCCGAGACGTTAGAGTCTTACCTCCGGCAATTTACGGTGCGGCTATTTATCGGAGAAGATCAAGAACCGAACGAAATATATAATTTCATACTCAAAGAGTTGAGGAGCACTAAGGCGCGGAACGAACGACCAGTGGAAATTTTACTAATGCAGCGTAAACTTGCAATTATCTATGCGAGTAAAGGCAGACATGTGAAGGCTACTGCCATCCTACGCAATATAATACAGGCAATCAGACAATGCCAAGAATCGGTAGATGAAGGGGTCAAGCAAAGTCTAGACTCACTGCTGAAAACCATCGAGCCCGAATTGCATAGAGAACGAGACAAAGCGGTTGTTGAGTTGAGCCCCGAATTGAAAGAAATTGAGCAGAAAGTAATCTTCGTCCTGAAAACCGACGACTGGTTCCGTGCAGACGAGATACAAAGCCGTATTTGGGAATTACTCAACATATTGTATGGTGAAGACAACGACGAGGCCCCCAGTACCCTTCCAGAATTAGTCACAACCACAAGAGAAGCTTTGAAACAGAAGGACTTGTCACCTGAGTGGAAGGTAACATTACAGGAAACGACGAGGCGTCTTTTTGGTGAAGAGGGAGAGAGAGAGAGAGAGAGAGACATGAAGTTATCAGGCCAGTTGGTTGCTATTGCATAGGGCCAGAATACCACGGACCACTTCATCATCTGACTATAAGTCACATAACTTGCAACGCTGACCCACTGGGCCGATGATGATGATGATGATATATTTAACGTCCAGATATCTGAGCTAACTACCTAGCTACATCATGTGACCCTATTTAGAGTATGGGACGTCTGGAGTAAGGGCTTCAACCCAGGGAAGGGGAGGCCCCGTACCAGCGTGTTATCAGTACATACGGGAAATCCTTCTACCGTGGCTATCCCTCTCCAGGGCCTCGCCGGTTTTTGAATGTTGGCAATAGTCGGCTATTGTTGAAATAGGACTATTGGCGATGGGGGAGGGTTAGGTCAGCAATAGATACCCTGTTGTGTGGGGACTGTTGGCGATAGTGAGGTAGGTTATCGAAAAGGGCTGTTGGCAACGAGAGAGATTTGAAATCGGCGAGGTTATCGACGATAGTGCTTTATCGCCAATGGCACCGTTGGCGATAAAAAGTTTCAGGCCCTGGAAAACGAGTGGTTATTAGCGACCACAGCGGGACTCGAACCCATACACATTAGTATTCCACACTATTGGGAGCCAAGTGCTTAGCCACTGCCCTATGTGGCCCCACTGGACCGATGGTTGCGAAGCTCGGCCAGCCGAGGACTGCGGAGCCTGGCGTGCTCGGTCTCCTCTCTATATATACACTCATTTATTACCTTTGTAGCTAGAATAGTCAGTGATCAATCCAAGCATACTTTGTATGGGAGCTACTCCTTACGACTTGTCTTTTATACTCCTGATATATAAACTCTCGGCCCCAAGTCGTAGGTAACACAGAATTCGCCTTGATGGTGAATGAATATGCGAAGGTCCCATTAGGATTGATGTAATACTGTCTAAGATGTCGCAGTTCGACCAGGCAAAAAAAATTGATGCGAGCTTTTGGTTTGCGACTCAGAACCTTTCATTTATGTACCTAATCAAAGAAATAACTTAAATAAAACATGACGATTGTTGGTCTCAGTAGCCATAGATGTCATCGGAGTCAGCTACCTTCCTATAAAAAGTTGCTCATGGCAGCTCGAGACGTTTGATAACCTATAATACCCAAGCATAGAGTACACGATATTGAATAGGATGTCGCAACTTATATTAGATATAATTTCTATCCTTGATATTATGCCTTTATTTGATATCAGAGTGTACATACGCAGCATATTGATACTTAGATACGTCAATGCGCCGGCTAAGTTTGAAAGCATAAATAACAACTCATACAGAGACTATTCTCAAATTCCCGCTATATAAAAAATATATTAGGTATCACATTTTTAGTTAGTGGGAGAAGGTCCAGTCGGAGAGCATAATGCTACATGATAATATTCTAGTAGAATGCTTAAGTACATCTTCCTGTTGAGCACGATGCTAGTCTATGCTGTCAGGGGTTAGGAAGGAACAAATAAGGTTTCCTGTATATAGCCCGTAACAGTGACCTCCATAGTTGTAGTCAGTTCCTCGCACAACAACGTATTGATTACCTAAGCACTTGCTTGGTCCCTGGTGAGATTTGCTTTCCTACCTTATTGGACACCAACTTTGGCTGGATCTCCAGACACCAATATCGAGCTGAATTATTAATCAAACAGTATTGAGCCAATGGTCGATGTATAATCTGAGAAACTCGGGGATCACCTTGAGTACACTTGCAGCGTGCTGTTATTGATGACTCTTTGACGCTGACAAGTTGAGCTAGCTACTAATCTTCGTGCTGTGCTCGATAGTTTCACAATCTACCATAGCATTTGTGCAAACAAAAGATCCCGTTTAAGAAGAGTGGTTGTCGATCAATATAGCAGTACATAATTTTCGTAGGTAAACATTATTCTGGTGCTGGACAACTTCATTGCTGTCTCCGAAGAGCAGTGTCATCTTCCACACCAAACATCGTTCTTAAGCTAATATCTTCAAGCGACATCCTTTTCAATTTTGAAACATGGCTTCAAACTTTTTGGCGCCTTCGACACCGCTAAACCAGCTTACACGGTCCTTAGTAAACAGTTCCATTTGAGGTCGTAACTTTGTTTCGTGGAGATTGAAGTCATCAACAGTCCCGATACGCAGAATACTCTTGCCTGGGAAAGCAGCACCAACACGGTACATAAGCGTGCCACAAATGGAACAGAAGTAGTTGGTCATCGTTTTTCCAGAGGCAATAGAATGCTGTTGACTATAAGTCCTCAGGTTTTCGTGGCCGCGCAGATGCTTCAGGTGTGTGTCTGCAACAGTAAAATTGGATGCGAACATAGATGCCGTGATCTTACGACAGTCTGAGCAGTTGCAAACAAAGGTATTCAAAAGGCCTTGACCTTGGGTTGGCTTAGTATTGTTCAAGTCATGTATTAGTACATAGCCCGTAAAACATCGAACAAGGACCTAGTAATGTTTGACTTACAAAGGCTAGTTGCACCGCGCCGCACTTTAATAATGGGAGTCAGTAACTGCCATATTAGGTAACTTTTTTACTCTTAGACCGTTGTCTCGGGACTCAAAACTCGTACGAACTTATACGTTTAGCCATGATAGGCAATTTTGACTCGCGAGACAGGCCAAAGAGGGGAATAAACGACTCCAAAGATTACTCACGAAGCATGTAGCTGTTGCTTCATCTTCAGTAGACCAGCCACCACTAGCACAGCCAGACAGTGGGATATAAGGCTTGGTCTTGTCGGCGTTAGCTGCCATCTTTATGATAATTTAGTATAGTTCAATAACAAGGAGAGTCCTTCAGAATTTGTCGATATTTTTGATATGTTACCTGAGTCCCTTGGATCCTTTATATAGACTTTTCTAGAGTGTTACGGGATAGCCCAACTTACTATACTACGAGTCATAAACTGAATGGGTATATACGCTGGAAGATGAGTCCGACGCTGACTGGCTGACCAAGCCAGGGAGAAATAATAACCACACCACCACCACGGATGCGGGTTCTGATTCAGCAACGTTCCCGCCTAGAATTTTATTCTTACAAATCACCTTTTCGAGAACTTTAAGTAGGGCGATGAGTAACATCTTGCATATTGAACATGCATAATGATTAGTATTAGTATGAGTTTTTTTTATATATATTTATTATATTAATGATACAATTCTAAAAGTCGAGTTAGTTTACTTCATATATTTCAATAAAAAAACCGGAGACCATGTGCTATGTTCGTTTAAAGTCGGCAGTTTGCATGCCCGGGTAGCTCAATTGGCTAGAGCGTCGGACTTTTACTCTAATCTCATGGATCAAAGTCCAATCCGAAGGCTGGGGGTTCGAGACCCCCCTCGGGCGGTTAAGTTTTAAGCGTATAAAACATATTTTTAATGAAAAAACTGTTAATACGTTATTTATAATCGGTGCTATTTTAATTTTTATATTTAGTATTATTGTTTATTAATTTTTGAAGTTTTTTTAACATTAATTATAATAAAAATATTAGCATTTTTATTATTTATTAAAATATGTTAATTAAAAAATCAACTTTCATTATAATTATATATGGAAATGAAAATGGAAACTTAATATAAGCAAATCACTTTAGCATTAATCGTGTTAAGGAGATATCCTTTAATATTTGCCATGTAAAGAACATAGGCGTGTGATTTTACTCTACTGAGACAGTCTACCCTCTATAAACGAACGACCCTTGATCCAAACCCAAACCATGACATAGGAAAATAGTAACTTAATGTGATAGACAATATATCTGTGGTCAGTACTTCTTTTAAGATACTCATTCTGAAGTTCAAGAACCGTGATCTCCCCTCACTTTGACAACAGCGCGCTCCACCAGCCTGGAAACAATACTGGACACAACCTTTGTTCCAACCAGTTCAAGAGCCTTAGTGATCATGCCATCGTGTTCCTTATCAGCGGCAGAGACCTCATTGGAGGTGCTTTCGTTGTTGACTGTTGATCCGTCTTTTGAGACGTCGTCATCTTTTTTGCAGAATGGCGCTCCTGGGATATGTATATGGATTTTTTCGAACACGTCTGCTCTCTCGCATAGCTGCTTGGCGACGTAGCCAACACCAAGATTCTCCGCTTCCTCCACAAGGGCGTTGTGATCCTCACGGTTTAGACCCTTAACCATGCCTTGTGCCACGGCGATACAAGTACCACACTTAAAAATCCCGCGCCAGTCCAAGTCGAATCGTGGCTCAATGCCAGCCTCTGATCGGGCCTGGGGCATGACGATGCCAGCGTCAACTCCTCCGATAACCATAACACCAGTGGTAACCTTAATGATGTTGAAGAAATGCATTTTTATGGTCAAAATTCAGAACCGGATGTTCGAATTTTTTTAAATTTTGTTTTTTTTTGGGGGGGGGAGGGCGGAGGAAGGAAAGTTGGAGAGTAGCTGTCTTCTGTTTGGTGGTAATGATGGTGATGGGAAAGACAAACATCAATATTTTCAAGAGTCAACGGGTTATTTATAACGAAATCTTCTCCGTGCACTTTCTAAATTTACCCATATACTTACACTGGAGCAGGTATTTGATGACCAGCCCACAAATAGGATGTGAAGTATATAGAGCGTTGAGGCCCTATATCACTCATCTAGAGTAGCAAGTATAGTCTAATAACGGCGATCATGGGATTAAAATCGATCCACTTAGATCCCTATTCACTTATTCACGGTGGTAACTTCTTATTGCCGCACATATCAAGTCTATAGTGGCAAAGGTAAGTAGCCGGACTTCCCTTGCCTATTATAGACACGACGACGAACGCTTAAAGTTATTCATATACGACAACAGGACCTGTGCATAATACAAAGAGCCCTTAGGGAGCAAAGATAGGTACCTCTCTTATATTTGGGAGCTCCAGGTATCTCTGGATCTAGCATTCTCCTTCTCACCTTTACACCTTCAATACATATATCTATTGCAATACCTGACAGACAGTGTTTGTGCAGTGCATTTGTACCTACTCGCTTGGATTGCGCGGCTCTAGTTTTTCTCATACAAGAGCCCCAGACAATATTTCGAATATAGCTTGTTTGGCTGACAGCAAGGTCCCAGCTGACAGGTGGAGAAAGTATTAAACTTTCGACTGATTTTTTTCCAGATGTAGTACAGGATCCCCTTTTATGGACACCTTATTGGTTTCTTTTTAAGGATATTACAAGACAGATTATTCTTATTTTCAATTTTGGTATTGACTTTGCCGCAAATGGAAGACAAAATCAGGTAACCTATACCAATCCAACGGCTAAGAAATTCATGCATGCACGTTTATTTGTGTAGAACTTCTTGATGAGATGACTACATATAATCCTATGATAAAGGTGGGTCAACTAGATATTGAGCCAGGATACTTCGTCGTATAGTTTGATGTTCGATGTAGTATAACGTGCGGAGTGTCTTAGACATACTCACATTCTTTACAATATAAAGAGATGGGGATAGAATAGACGTTTTTTCCTTTTTGGTACAAGACATAGATAATGTCTGGGTATCCCTTTGCATTCAAAATCAAGACTGTTGCACATAGTATATTTATTGAAGATACGATAAACTTCTTTTGGTACAATTGAGAATGAGTGTCATGCCTCATTGTATCAACATTGTGGAAATGTGTGTATACCGCGCAACTTATATTTCTGGAGAGTACCTGGGTTCTTTCTTACAACTTCGACACGTTGTAGGAACTGATGCTAGGGCGAAGTTGTGACATATTATATTGCCTAGCCCTATTGATTGAGAACATTCATGGGTTCAGAATCGTGAAAACTGTCCTTTAAGCAACCCTATATATCATGTTGGGAAATACGGAAATTACTATCTTTAGTTGAACTTGGTTATAGTTTGTTTGTAACATAGTGGATGAGGCGATAAGGGTACCGCCCAAGTCTAGCACACATTACTTGGTGTATAGTTAAAATAGATTTTATTTTTTGCGCGTAGTGTAACACAGGTCCATGTATTATCTAGTGTCAGGGATTAGGAGGAACAGGGAATATGTTTATGTATATATGTAACGATGACATACGTACTATGTAGTTATAGTCTGGGTTCCTCGCACGACAACGTATCGATTATCTAAGCACTTGCTTAGTCCCTAGTGACATCTAGAGTATATGTGCATATCCTCGGTCCACATACTCCTCTTTTTCCGTGGTTGAATATCGTGGTACACACATTGTCGGTTCTGTAGCTGGGCTGCAAGTTTTATATTCGGTGACTTGCTCTTTCTTCCCAATTTCTTGTGGAGAATCGGGTAAATACTAACATATTTTGTCAATCCAAGATCTACTGAATCGATGATAGTTGTTTTTTTATCCAGTGAACTCGCTACTCTTGAATATACCCAATGGGAAGTGCTCTGCCATAGCCTGATAACCAGCGACATTTGGATGCAGATGATCACCGCTGTCATATTGGGTAGCCAGATTCGCCGCATTCGAAGGATCGGCAACGAACTGGGCAAAGTCTATTGTTCCCTGGAAACTACCATCACCTCCGGCCACTAGAGAGATACATAGTAAGCATGAAACTGTTTGCCAAAGCGGAAGGCGAGAGCTCCCATTCATTAATGAAAGAATGTCACTTACAAACCCACTCGTTTATCGCCCGCCTCGTTTGGTCCCTCGTAGGATTGCTATAGCTCTGTCCGCTGCCACCAAAGGGCGTGATAGTTGCACCAAATACGACCAAGCCTGCTTCTTTGGCATCGTTGGCAATTGTCTTGAACGCCGTAGTGAGACCGTCGCCTATGCGTGCCTGAGTGCTAGAATCCGCAGAGGCGCCGCCAATGTCGTTGACACCTTCAAAAATAATGGCATATTTCACACCAGCAACAGCTAGAAGATCCCTCTTATAGCGATCCACCAGCGGGGGACCGAGACCACCGGTCAGAACGGTATTGCCACCGGCTGCCTGGTTGCATACAGCAATGTCCACGATGCCCTCCTCTTGCATCCTGGAAAGCAGTAGGTCTGGCCAGCTATGAGTTCGTCAGCGGATAGCACTCGAGAACGGAGTTAGCAGAACCTAACCGGTTATTAGCATTATCAGTGCTGCCGCGCCCATCTGTGATGCTATCACCAAGGATAACTAAAGCAGAGGTTGTCATGGGCACCCATGCTTCCACAGCAGTTAGAAAGTACCAATGTGCCGTACTCGCTCCGGTGACAGAAGAACTGTTTACATGATTTCCCTGTACCATCCACGATGTCGTTCGACTGCCAGGATGACCAGTAATACTGCTGCCCGGTTGACCGGACTCAGAATAGAGGCTTACGGTAATCATTGACTGGGAGTCGACTTGGAAGTCAATGGGGTCAGAATAAACCACCTGCCCCCGAGGCACTACGACAGAACTAGATCCGTTGAAAGCAAGGCTTTTTAGAGAGACAGCATCTATGCTATTGACGCCAGCACCTCCACCGGTGGGAAGGGCGATCGAAGCTTCGGTGATGGGGAGATCGCTGCCACCGAAGGTGTTCGATATCTGAAAGCGTAATCTCTCGGCCCCGATAGACATGTGTAATGTTTGGCGAAGAGTAGCATCCCGAAACGTCACTGAACCGGACTATTTTCATTGGAACTTCAGTCGCTTTCTTTCTTCTCCCAACTTGTTACCGAGATAACTTGATACCTACAAACGGGGATGGTGGCATATTACTCGGCTCGACGAGTTGTGGCATGGATGTCCACGTAGCCACCCAATGCCTATTTTCCTGGCGCGACTCGAGTGAGTCTTGCTCTATTGGAGCTGTGTGGACATATGATATCCATAGCAGACACAAAGACACGAGTGAGAAATATTTTGATAGCATTCTGAGAGCACCTAATAAAGCCATGTTTACAAATGGTAATGAAGATGAGGACGGAAGGGACCATAGACCTTTATGACCACCGCTCCAACTCTTAAAGCCTTAGCAGAAGACGGACAGATGCTTTCGCCTCGGAAAGCTATCTTCCGTGTCCAAATTAGTTTACGGGAGAACTAGATTGGCTAGCATTGTTAACACGGGGGCGTTATACATGGAATGATTATATATCAGCTGCAACGTAAACCAACAACTAGAACTGTGTATATGCCCAGACATATATAGAGAAATTGAAAAAGTTCCATAATTTTCGGGCAAGCCGTGACCGGGCCGCGAAGAAGCTTCTCTATAAGTATTAGCATTGCCGGATATTTGGGATGTGGCTGCAGGGCTTCCCGACGTTGTGCGACATAATATAGTAACTCTATTAAATGAAGAAGTAGAAGAGCTTCTATAAGAAAGTAAAACAACAATAGTTATTTTAAAAATAATAAATTATAAAAAAATAAAACAT